TCTTCCGATATTGTGATCACAATCTCGGAGAAATCCGGCGACAAATTTCGAATCTTTCGGCTATCCGTCCTGTTTCAGACGTCGGGGAAGGTATAATTGTAACAATTCCTTTAGGTTTTGGTTGTTTTTTTATCGTTTGTTTTTGTGCTTTGAAAATGTCTTCGATCGAGATTTCCCGGCGATATGTTGATTTTCAGTTGTTTTTGTGTTATGGAAGTTGTTTCACATTGGAAACTTGATTAATTGTTTTGATATGTCTGACGAATTTCTGGGAACTCAGTCTGTTTTCAGCTAGCTTGACTTGCAGATCCTTTGAATGTTGTGCAGCACTTTGCTTTTAGTTTGTGGCTCTGAATATTTCTTTTTTTTTTCTTTCAATTTTTTGTTCTTTGTTTGCATCTGTTTTCGATCTGCTTTATTGGACTTCTTGATTATCGCAGCCAGTTAATGCGATAAACCCGCTGCATTACGGGTTTGAATTCTTTTTGGTTGAATTCTGCGTGACCGATATTTGATGGTAGAAACGGACCCTAAAATTTTCTTATTCTTGTCGGATCCTGAGAATGTGTGATCTACTTGCTATCTATGTTAAATGCCTATGGTATCATCAGCTTTTGTTTATTGAACGTATCATTGATAAATTGGTTTCTGGTTTGCAGGTATTGTATTTGTAAGAGGGTTTTTGACTGATTAAACTGTCATGAGATTCAGAAAAGGAAGTGAAGTCGAGGTATTCAGCAGTGACGGGGCACCTTATGGTGCTTGGCTACGTGCTGAGATTATCTCGGGTAATGGGCACATGTACATGGTTAGGTTTGATACTTTCCGATTTGCCAAAGATGAGGTGGTTGTGGAGAGATTTCCGAGGAAGAATATTAGACCGTGCCCTCCACAAGTGGAAGTAGCCAGATGGGAATCTGGTGAATTGGTGGAGGTTCTTGAAGATTTTTCCTGGAAAATTGCCACAGTCCTCAAGGCTCTAGGTGGAAGTTATTATCGGGTTCGCTTGCTCGGTGCTTCTGCAGAATTTGAAGTCCACAAAGTTGACATCAGGGTTCGACAATCTTGGCAAGATGACAGATGGTTTCTGATTGGAAAGGTAAATTTCCCTTTTATATGCTACACCCTCTCTGGTCATTTAGTTGTTCTGCTCATGTTGAGGTCTCTTCTTCCTCCATTAAGATTTCTCACGTGATCATTTGACCCTAAACTTATGTTGTCTCATTTTTCCATTCCCAAGAATTTCTTCTTCAAGTTAATGGTCTGCATAACTTCCTGACCGCTTAAGCATACTGTGTTTGTAATAAATTTTAACAAATTTGTGAATGAACCTTTACCTTGACTAATTGTTATGTGATCGTGCTCTCAGGTTTCTGGTTCTTTGAAATCCTCTACACTGACAGGATCGGATGTTCATCAGAAGCCTCAGGCCCTTTTGAACAATCCTCTTTTGCGGGAGCCTAGGGTTGCCTCTTCTAAAATGTTAAAGAGGGTGTCACCTTATTGCTGGTCGGAGTGTGCTGAATCATGCACGGGGAACCCCAGGAAGAAACGATCGGTTGAGAAAGAGGGTGAACAACACCGTTATCCTTCCTTATCATTGCAAAAGGTAGATGCTGTTGCTTGCCGATCTGAAAATTTGGGTAAAAAACGCGCTCAAGGTTCCTTTAAGAATGACAAAAATGGTTGCTGTGAAATGGTCAGGGTAAGATCAAATGGGTTGAATGAGTGTGTTCGTGCAGGAAACACAGAAGCTAATGGTTATGATAGTGATGCATGCTCGGTTGGTAGTTGTAGCGTTGTTAGTTATAACGAGAGTAATATGCCAACTTGTATGCTAGACGGGGCTAATCAAGATGCAGATCCTGCTAGTAGTGATGCTGAATCTTCAAGTGGACATGGAGAAGAAAGACAGAATTCTTTGGCAGATGATGAAGCGGCAGAAAGGTCCCATCGATCTGAATTATACACTTACCGCAGTACTTTGGGAGAATTATTTGCTTCTGGGCCCTTAAGTTGGGAACAAGAAGCATCACTAACTGATCTGCGACTGTCCCTTAATATATCAGATGCTGAACACTTGACGGAGCTAAGAAATCTAATATCTGCTGGTTCCCGCAGTCATAATTGTTAGCATCAAACATGGTTCACTCTTTTCTTTTCTTTGATTCTTATTGTCAAAGTCTTATCCTTTTTCTTGGCCATACTTGCCTGCATCGAAGAATCAACTGTCATATGTGTTCTTTTTACCGAGGAATTTTATATTGAATGTATAGACAGCAGAAACTTGCTACCTGAATAGTATGTACGGAAACACCATCTAGAATGAAATTGTTCAAGGCATGTTGCGGTGTTTTTTTTTTCCTTTTACTTTGTCTACTTTTTGTTTAAGTTGTTTTGGTACATTTTATCCCATATTCTCCAATTGTAAAAGATCAAGCAAACGTATTTTAGCTTCTGATTGCTGTATCTGCCATCTTTCTCCCTTTTAGTGATGCCTTCACTTGTAGAGTCTGATCATTTTGATAATGCCGCTTCGGACATCAATGATCTTCTCCTACGTTTTTCAGGAGCAGTGTCGGGGGCCTGCAGACCTTGCTTCTAGAGAACTAACTCTGATACTGGGGTAAAACGGCTTCCCCTTTGCCGTTTGAATGGTGCAATACCGTTCCTGTTCTTCTGCAAAACCAGATAACTGACGTTATATACTGTTTATTCCTTCTCGCTATCGAGATGTTATGGTTCGTTTCAGGTGTTTCGGACTCAACCTTGTCCACATGGCTTAGAAGACTGAACTTTGTGCAGGTTCCAGTCTATGTTTTGCCGATTTTCTCTAAAATTCTGGCTATGTTTTCTTGGGCATGACTGTGGTTATTGGCTCTTAGCTTTCTTAACACATGCTATGTCGTCGCTTACAGGAATAGAAAGCTGTACTGTTTCACATACCTTTGTCTTATTCTGGGTGTTATTGCCTGATGCGTAAGTATGAAACCATAGTCGTCCTAGGTTTGTCTTCATGATGCTGTGTCCGATTAAGAAGAGCATAGATATGTTTTCGATGATATGTCTCGATTCCATAGAATGTAGTCATCTGATCCTGATTATTTTTCATGGTCTATAGTTCATAAAATCAAATGGAAAGTGGAAACATGCACGTCATGTTTCATTAGTTTGTGGCACTTGCGTTCTGGTCATGCTTTGCATGAACTATCTTGGCGAGCCAAAGTCTCCAACTCTGGCGACGCTGAAGTTATTGGACTTTCGGGGTTATGAAACTCCCGAGCTGATTACGCTCCAGGTTGTACAAAGGTACGGCTCCCATTTCATATTCATATTGTGGATGCAAGCGTTACAAGGCTATTCATGGTTGGTTCTATATAGTGCCAAGATTAAGATCAAAACTCTTTATTGTCCTGCTCTGTTTGTAAGCATTTGCTTTATATATATATGTAGACCCGTTATTGCATATATTTTATATGTAGAGGTATTCTATATCTTGCTTTTATGAGAGAAGGGAATTCGCATCCTTATTGGTATTGCCATGTCCGAGCGTGCTTTATGACTTCAAGGAATGTGCAGAAGAAAAATTTAGGATTTTTTTTATTGCAACGGAACCATAAATCTTAAACAAAGCTGAAACAAAAGAAAACTTATTGTTGGGCAATGTGGTGAGAACTCTTCGGCGTTGCAGCCAAAAGATATGATTTTTATGACGCTTGGGGACATACAGGCCGAGAATTCCTCAGACCACGCAAGTAACTCAAATGGGTTTAACCGGGGAATTCAGAAAACCCCATCAGGATTCATATTGGCAGAATTGGAATGGAGTTCTGGAATGGCGACTGTACGAATGGTGATCGTAAAATGCCTGTGGGATTCCGTTAGGGTTCTTGGAAGAATTGAGCAGATTTTTCATGGCTTTGATCGGAGCAGGCTCGGGGGTGATAAATCAGGACGCCCGTGGCAGGGATTTTGGCTTTGTCGATGTATATAGCGACACAGATGATCAGAAACTCCAGTTGGGACCAGACGGACCATTGATGTTCACGGTTCCAACAGTTGAAATATTTCGAACGTTGGTTAAACGCTGTGATGAATTCTAGTTTCTAACATTGGTTAAAATTTGCATTTTATTATGTCATGTCAACTAAATTCGTTTATTTTGATAATCGTAAAAAAGTTAAATGTTTTTTGTTAAATTTTAAAAAAATTAATTTTTTTTTTTTTTTATCAAAAATAGAAAGTTTCAGTGTATTTTTTTTATTTTTTCATAAATAAAAAAACCTTGATTCAATGACTCCGTTGAGTAAAAAAAAAATCTCACGGAGATTCATGCATGCGTACCATCTATTGGGACTATTGAAGATTAAGAAATGTTCACGTATCATATTAATTTTAAAAATCATGGAATTTGGTGAACTATTTGCAATTCATCATATCATCATATTTTTAAAATAAGTGGATAATATTAAGAAATCCAAAAAAACTAGCTAAATAATCAGAGGATTTTTTTTTATCGATCATATCTTACAATAAATTTTTTTTGTTTGCATGAATCATATTTCAAGTGGATATTATTAAGTAATCTAAAAAATTAGTAAAATAATCATAGGATTTTTTTTGGATCATATCTTACAATAAATCTTTTTGTTTGCATGCATCATATTTCAAGTGGATATTATTAAGTAATCTAAAAAATTAGCTAAATATCATAGGATTTTTTTTTCCGATCATATCTTACAATAACTCTTTTTGTTTGGATGAATCATATTTTCTTATATATGTATACACAAAGTATTAAATTTAGAGAATTAGATTAGTGTTTTTTTTTAAAAAAAAAAATCGGAAATAAATTTCAATAATGGGAGAGAAAATAATAAAGCAAAGTAGCTATTTTTAATTTTTGAATTTTTTTTATTTTCTTTAACTGAAAATAATACTCCGAAAATCAGTCGGAGGCGAATTTTGTTAAAAATAACTATATTTATTTAGATAGAGATAAATTTTCTAGATTTGAGAATCTAAAAAAACAATTAAACTTTAAATTATTTATATATTTGTGGCTTGGAGACAAAAAAGGAGGGAAATCGTTGAGAGCGAACAAAGCATGTGTTGTTGCTCCTCTCTCTCTCCAAAACCACAGTAACGTCGTCGAAGACAAGGTAACGTGATTCGAATCACTCCTTTGTTGAATCCAACTCTGGCGACGGCGATCGCGATCGTGATCCACAACCGCCATTGACGTCGGGGAGAGCGAGATTTTGGGTGGAGAGACAGCCATTGACGCCGGAAAAAAGAGGGAGATAGGATCGAATGGTGGAGAAGAAGAGGAAGAAGGTGTGGATATGGGGGGAGAACCACAACAGCGGCGGAGGAGAAGCGGATGTTGCGGAGGAGGAGATGTCGAAGGAAGGGACGGCGAGCCATTACAGTCTGAGCAAAGGGCTTCTTCCGCCGCTCGGAGCCACCTCCCGTTCTTCACGTGACCCCAAGCTCCGCCGCTTCATGATCTCTCCCTTCGATCCCAGATACAGGTCTTCCTCTCATCACTCTGCATATATTTCTTTTTCTTTTTCTTTTGGTAACTCTGTAAATCTCTCTGCATTAGGAGAATGGAAATTACAAACCCTATGCAAGTATACGTATGGGCTCATATATGCGCATTCAACACATACATTCCTTGATTTTGTATATACGAATATCTAGGTGTATTCACGATTCCACTAAATAAAAATTAGGTGAAGATGTTTCTTGCTTTCTGTGATCTCCCCCTCATCTTTGTGCAGCATTGTCATCCTGTTTGTGATGAATCACTTATGGAATGTGAATGTGAATTCGCAGAGCTTGGGAAACGTTTCTAGTGTTTCTGGTGCTCTACACAGCTTGGGCATCGCCTTTTGAGTTTGGGTTCCTGAGAAGCCCGAGAGCACCCCTCGGTATTCTTGATAACGTTGTGAATGGATTCTTCGCCATGGATATCATTCTGAGATTCTTCCTTGCCTTCCTCGACAAGGCAACTTATCTCCTCATCGATGATCCCAAGAAAATAGCTTGGAGATATGCCTCTACTTGGCTAGCCTTTGATGTGGTATCTACAATTCCTTATGAGCTGTTCGCAAGCGTAGTTTTGCATGAAACTATTCAGGGATATGGGATTTTCAGTATGCTACGTCTATGGCGTCTTCGAAGGGTCAGCAATTTATTTTCCAGGTGAACCAATTCTGATAAGATTGATATCAAAGCTTCTCTTCATTACTCGCATTCATCTTTAATCACTGTGTTCTATCAAAATTTCAGGTTGGAGAAAGATAGGAAATACAGTTACTTCTGGGTTCGATGCACGAAGCTTCTGCTCGTTAGTATATGTTCATTGTTTTACTTAAAAACATTTTCGTAAGAGACATTTGATTTGCAATTTATAACGCAGTTGTGGTGGTGCAGGTCACTCTCTTTGTGATTCATTGTGCTGCCTGCTTCTGCTATTCTATCGCCGCACATTACCCAGATCCTTCCAAGACTTTTATGGCACTTTCAAACGAGAATTGGCAACAGGCTCCTTTGTCTGGGCAGTATATTACAGCAATGTATTGGTCCATAACTACTTTATCAACAACGGGCTATGGTGATATACACGGAGTCAACACGAGAGAGATGACCTTCATTCTCTGCTACATGGTCTTTAATCTTGGATTGTCAGCATATATAATTGGTAATATGACCAACTTGGTTGTTCACGTAACCAGCCGGACTAGGAAATTTGTAAGTTTCGTTCCCTTCGCACTAACTACTCATTATTAACGTTCTTTCGAACCACGAAGCAGACAAATTACTGAAGAAATACAAAGTGGAAAATTCATCTCTGGCCACACAACTATGATCTTATATTGATTCATTTTGTCTCTATATTGGCAATTGAGTGATCTCTTAAGCATTTCATAAACTATGTTTTACTTGTGACTTTGCCACTGTTTCAGAGAGATACCATCCAAGCCGCCTCGGGGTTTGCTCAGAGGAACCACCTTCCTGTGCGCTTGCAAGAGCAGATGGTAGCTCATTTGTCTTTGAGGTACAGAGCTGATTCAGAAGGCCTACAACAGCAAGAGATTTTCGATACCCTACCAAAGGCTATTCGCTCCAGCATTTCACATTATCTGTTCTACGACATCGTTGACAAAGTTTACTTGTACCAAGGAATATCGAATGATCTGCTTTTCCAGCTGGTATGTCTTCCTAATGTCTCTACAATGAGGAAACACGCTCGTAATTCACATCGGAATTTAAAATTCCTAACCCTTGATTTTGAAGGTCTCCGAGACGAAGGCAGAGTATTTTCCTCCTCGAGAAGATGTGATTCTGCAGAATGAAGCGCCCACAGACTTTTATATACTGGTGACAGGAGCTGTTGTAAGTATCCTTTCCAAGTTTTCCAATTAACATATACAGGTCGTTTAAGTGTTAAGTTCCTGACACATTTATATACTTGACAGGATATAATTGCACGCGTTAACGGGGTGGAGCAGGCAAGCCTAGTCCTCATCACCCGCTAAGATATTCAATATGTTATTATAACTTGGTCCGTAAACTGAAGCTTTATCTCTCTGACTGTGTGGCCATTGCAGGTTGTTGGTGAGGCTCAGACAGGAGATGTTGTTGGTGAAGTTGGGGTGTTATGTTACAGGCCACAGTTGTTCACAGTTCGTACAAAACGTTTGAGTCAGTTGCTTCGTCTAAACCGTACATCATTCTTACATCTGGTTCAAGCAAACGTTGGAGATGGGGCAATAATCATGACTAATCTTCTTCAGGTTCGTATGAACTTTTACGAAACAGGGTACCAGAACTCATTACCGATCATGAAAAATTTGTAAGGAATATGGTTTTATCTCATAACAGATGATATTTGGTTGGTGCAGCATCTGAAGGACTCAGAAGATCCTGTGATGCAAGGCATTTTAGCAGATACAGAACACATGTTGGCTCAAGGGAAAATGGATTTACCTCTTAGCTTATGTTTTGCAGCGGCCAGAGGAGATGATTTATTGCTGCATCAATTGATAAAACGTGGTTCGAACCCTAATGAAACCGATAATAATGGACGAACTGCTCTGGTGAGACCTCTCTTCCTCTGTGATTTCGAAATCATCCTTTTTTCATTGTAATTTACCGACATGCTTATGATGGGTTTGTTTCTGTGCATTTCAGCATGTAGCAGCATCAAGAGGAAGCCAGTATTGTGTCGTTCTACTCCTAGAACACGGAGCTGACCCAAACATTAGAGGTGATTTTTCTAAGTTCATCAAGAAACAAAATTTTCGAAATCGGTTCTTAAGCCTCTTTCACCCACCTAGATTCTTCGAGTTTCTAAACGAGAAATCAATCAAATAAAAATCTTCATTCTTGCAGATTCTGAAGGGAGTGTTCCCTTATGGGAAGCAATCATTGGGAGACATGGAGAAATTGCTCAACTCTTAGCGGAAAACGGCGCAAGGCTCAGCCCCGACATGGCCGGCCATTTCTCATGCTTAGCCGTTGAACTCAACAGCATTGATGCCCTGAAAGGCATAATCAAATACGGAGGCAAAACCTCGCTTCCTGACAGCAACGGAACCACAGCTCTACACAAAGCTGTCTCGGAAGGAAACATTGAAATCGTGAAGTTTCTATTGCAGCAAGGATCGGATATAGACAAGACGGATATGTACGGTTGGACGCCTCGGGGTTTAGCCGAGCATCAAGGGCATGAAGACATTAAATCTCTGTTCCAGAATCACAAGCCAAAGTCTGTTGTAGGAATACCGGAGGCTCCCGTACTGGGAAAGCCGTTGATGAAGTACAGCAGTGAGCCTTTGGTGCCTCCTCGGAATTCAAGCGATACATCAATGCCTATAACGCCGGAGAGGAGAGGGTCAGACGTTTCTCAGAGGAGGAAGATCAATAACTTCAGGAACTCCTTGTTTGGAATCATGTCTTCTGCCAACACAGGTACGCCTTTTCTCTCTCTCAGGTGGCTTTCCGGTCAAGTAACGGAAATTCTCAGAAACTCCGATGCCCAATCCGATCTATGGGTCGGATACCTGAGTGTTGTTATATGAAATGAGAATTTGAAAATCCAGTATACATTCGAGTAATTGAATCCGAGATCGACCATTATCCATCGATACCAAATGAATGGTAAAAGGATATTTTTCCTTGAGTTTTAAAAATATCACTAACATATTTATTTTGAAAAAAAGTTCAAATTTTTCTAGTTTAACTCACATTCAATAATGGATATTCTCGGATATGCCACTAACAATTCCAAAATCGGTAATATTTTCTGAGAGCCGAGATGTTCGGCTCCGGTTCAAATTACCCAAATTATTTCGGTAAGCGACCCATGTCCATCCCTATAGAGGTGCACTTCCAGAACTTGTAAAATTCCCATTCTTTTGGCGTTTTGTTTTTCTTCTTTCCGCAGCGGAGGACAAGGGAGCGTCAGCAAGAAACCCGCCTACACCAGGTGTTTCAGCGATTTACCCGGCAAGAATTACGATCAGTTGGTCAGAGAATGGTGAAATTACCAGGAAAAAGGTGGTATTGCTACCGAATTCTATGGAAGAGTTACTCGAAATATGTCAGAAAAAGATCGGATTCGTGCCCACGAAGGTTCTTCTAGAAGGAGCCGATGCCGAGATCGACGACATCAAGCTCATCAGAGACGGCGATCATCTCCTCCTTTCCAGAAATGACTGATGAACAAGCGAAGCCTGAGATGAGATTTCTATCAAACTGCATATACAATTTTGTGGGGTTTCTTCCTGCATTCATCGTTTCGTATACGGTAAAGTAAAAAATATACGGAATTCAGTATACCGGTGAATGTACATCTACGGGGTTGGAGCCCGTAAGATCTACTAGCACACTTACATGGAATTGTGTATAAATTCTTTGTATAACATTTTTGGCGTACATTTAAACTAAAATTAAAAAAAAAATGCACAATTGCTTTCGATGATTCCTACACATAATCTGCCCCAAACAAAGATGCAATGAAAAGTGATTCAGATTTTGTTATTACAGGATAGAAAAAAAAAAACTGAAAGCAATCTCAAATCCAAAAAGAGTAAATACCCACAAACAAGATTAGCGAATCCAACTAACATCCCAGAAGCAAAGATCGATGCATCATACATCTTTGATGAAGGGACACGCTCCAGCTTCGTTTGCAGAAGTATTGTAACTAAAACACCATATATAGCCACAGCTTCTCAAAAGATTACACTGGGACAAACAATAAGAAAAAAGAAAACGATGGATTAGGTTAACGATGCAGGTACTTGAGACCCTCGGATTTGTAGGTATCATATCTTGCGAATATTCGAGATTCGGGTAACCGATCACCAATGAAGCCAAAGACGATTGTGACAAGGCCAAGAACCCGGACAGTGGGCTCGAATTTGGGTTTCTCTAAACCATGATAGGTTGGTTATCCGCAGTTATCGGATACAAATCAACATCATTTGAATTCATTCCATATGAGATATGGTATAGTTTTGATTTTGTTAATTGTCACGTACCGCAAAACCTTTCTCCTTTGTTTGGGTTTCGAATACGAATAAATTATATTAATATCCCTACTATTTTAATGTATTTAAAATAATATCTAGGTTTATTTCGTGTAACATTGTTAATATAATTCCAAAATCAATTTAAGTCAATTAAATTTTCAAAATTTCCATCCGAGTCTCAGGTATCTAGGTATGTGAAACCGAGACAATACTAGAACACCCGTGGAGACAAGACCAAGTATCCAAAAATCCGGATACCCAACCTGCATCCAATCCTAATTAACATGGTGTTATGATTTAAGTCAAACCCATATATTACTATCGGTTAGGCTTCATGCTATAAAATGGTTCGAGTATATAAATGCAGCAATTAGAAAACTATGCATCAAATTGAAAACACTAGCAAGGCAATAGCTCCGGGTACCAACAATAGTTAGCCTGCTCGTGTGTCTATCCGAGAGTGAGAGTACTAGAAAATACAATCAATGTTTTTTTCTGGTAAAAAAACACAATCATTCTTATCAGCATTCTATCAAACCCTCTATCGAGATGGACTCGCACTAGGGATCTGGGATGGTATCTCTTCATTAAAACATATCCCTCTGTCACTGATTTCTTTGGCGACGTATTTAGACACCAAATGAGGCTCTCCTACATGATGGCATTGAAGGTTAAACCTGATGACATCGGTTTTTGACGTTATTTTTCTATGGTTTTTGTTGCATTTCACCCATCTTTTCCGTGTAAATCTAGCATTTAGGCCATATGTTGTGCACAAATGTCGTTTTCTTTTCTCTTTGATGCAATTTCAGGAATATTAGCGTAATGCGATGAAAACGGAGCTAAAACGGCGTTTTTGGAGCTTAATTGGACCAATTGGACAATCACGGACGAGCTAAGAAAGATCACAGACTTGTTGCGGACAAGAAACGGACTTTGGAGCGAAAAAAAGAGAATCTTGATGTTGAGAACATCAATATCGACGTTTTATAATATTGATATCGACGTTCTTCAACATCGATATCGACGTTTCCAGCCACATCGAGATCAGATTTTCAGATTTCCAGATCTAGACGTTCCCGAACATCGATATCGATGTTCCATACCTCGAGATCTGAGCAGTCCAGAGGTTGATCTTTTACAACATCGATATCGACCTTCCCAAACCTCGAGATCTGGGCACCCTGGAGGAATATCGATGTTAGAAAACATCGATATCGAGGTTTTTAACGTCAATATTTCGAAATGTCTATAAAAAGACCGTCTAGAAACTAAGGAGGGGTTCGACTTTTGACACATTTTTCGAGACTATTCGAGATTTTTCGGTTCTTGACACTTTAGAGGACGAATCGGAGCGGAGATCGCTACATTTCGGAGTTTAGAGATTGATTATACATCCTATAAGTTTTTTTTCTCTTTATGTTTTGAAATGTTGTATGAATCTGTTGTAGTTTCGTTTTCTCCCATGGATCGTGAGTAGTTCACTTGCTGTAGGCTAGAGATTCTAGCCATGTTATGTATTTGTTCATGTTCTTAATAAGATTATTGCATGTTTTGTTTAGATCTGGTTCTATGAATTGATCTTAATGTTTTTATCAGATTGATCACCTGTATGAATTGACGTGGGCTAATTAATTGCAAAGGAATTTGGATTAGTTAATACCAGAATTCGTTCATAGGATAGATTCAATTATTAATTCTGAACGCATAGGTTGGACTTGATAAGGAATTCTTAATTCGATCTAGGAACTATGACAGCGGACGTTAATGCTGCTAACGTAGACCTAAAGATGCGGAAGCTGATAGGAAAGCGTTAGTTAGAGAATTATGATCCTTGACCTAGACGAATTCTAAATTAGAAGCTAGAGTTTCCCGAACCTATCAACTGCAATTCAATCTATATATCTTAGAGACAATCCATAGTATCGGTGAACCCCCGAACCTACAGTGTTTTTAATTATAGTTTTCTCCCAATCAACCAACTATTCTGCTATTGACCTACGCTAGGATCACCATCGACACCATCACCTCTCGGTCCCTGTGTTCGACCTTGGTACTACATTGAATCCGTACCCTTGCAGAATCGTCTTAGTCTAAGTATTTATTATTTGATCATCCATTCACCTAGATTGACACGATCAAAACCCAAAAAACGGGATCCTTCAAGATATCTTATCTTTCACTATAGAACTCTTCTACTGTTATTACGACCCAATATATCATCAGATCCAAATCTCTTACTCTGATAGAAACCCATAAGTTCCTACGAAAACCATCGGAATGCAAAGTGAGTTGCGTGCACATCCCTTCACGTTGATTTCCAATTGATCCCAAATATCTTAGGCCTTATTCATGTGATAACTTAGCTTTGCATAGAAGTTACAAAGTAGATAGTTCTGTTTACAATATTTATGTCCATTTCTCAAATTTGACTAATTAAACCAATATTCAAATGGTTCGTCTAGGTTCTATTTTAGTCAAATGGCTTCTCGAATTTCATCTTCCATATGGTTTAGGTAAATCGGATTGGGGTTTATCAAATTTTTTCTACATCGAGGGATCAACTTATTTATAGAAAAATGTAGTAACATGGGAATCCCAATAACGCAACAACAACGGTGAACAAGAAATCTACCCAATTTTCTAAACATACAATTATTGTCCCGACAGAAAAGTTGTCCGATACAAAAAAGAGATCACAACTAGAGACATTCAATTCATAATCAACTTACCCGACAACGAAACTCATACAAATAGCAATCTCAAAGTCCAAGACAAAAGGAACTAAAAATCCAAGGCTTCGAACTTGGATTGTTCTTAGTATCAGAAACCAAATGAAGTAGGAAATGAAATTAACACCATTCCTAAAAGAATCAGTTTTTGGTTTTTTTAAAGAAGAGAATCTGCACAATACCCAAATAAATGGATTGTTCTTCGTTTGAAAGAAATAAAACCCACACTAAAACTCAAAACACAGAAGAATCATAGAAGGAAACTAAGGATTAATGTTTGAACGTTGAGTCTTTGACGTACTTGATGAGATTTTTTGAAGTGATACGATGACCCTCGATAGTCGCATCGAACAAACTACTTCCCGTAATGTAAATTCCCCTTGTTGCAAGCCTTCGAATTGTGCTCGTAAAGATTATAACCGAATATTTTTCACCTTATCAACTCCTTCATATGATTTCTTCAAAATTTCCTAATCTTCTTTGGATGTTGTTGCTGAGGCAATAAGCTCGAATGTTACTTCATCATCTCCTTGATATATTGTGAACAACACCTTCTTCTCCATCTGTCGTAGGTCTTTAAATGGTTTATGGCTGAGAGGATAAAAAAAGAAATTTGACAAATATTGGCTATCAGATGACATCAATCTCATAATTTTCATCACAATTGTGCTTGATTCACGATTTAATTTGACATATGTCAATTTTATTATTAAGGAGATCTACAATGATGAAGAGAAGGCCAATGAGAGGATTGGGAGAGTGAAGGCCGCCTTAGAAAATCTTTCGATTATTATAAGTCAAATAGATTTGTTGAAACTCAATCATTTAGTAGTAGTCAAGCATAATTATAAGTGACATCAAGCGGGACTAGCTAGTTTCGAAGTGATAAAGCTTTTAACTGCTTATTTGTTTAAGATGTTTAGGAATTATAGAGACACTAGACTAGACACGATGCTAAGAATAATGAATTGGAAGCCTATTTGGAGCTTGTTCCCGAGAATAAGCATAATACAGATTTTGATGTTCTTTACTGGTGGAAAATTACCGGTTCTTAACATCCCATTCTTTCTGATATGGAAAGAGATATTTTGACTATAGTGGTATCTAGTGGCGGATCCAGATAAAAATTCAATCAGAGTCAAATCATATATATATATATAATAAAAAATTTATTTACATTTTATAATAAGAGAGAATTGGGGCATAATCTTAATTTTTTTAAAAATTTGTTAAATTTATAAAGAATTTAATTTTTTTCCTAATATTACTGGGGGCATGTGTCCCACTCTATAACGAGTGGGTCTGCCTATGGAGGTATCAACCGTTTCCTCCGAGTCCGCGTTTAGTACAGGTGGTCGTGTTATAGATCCATACCGTACCTCTTTAAGTACACGACTTGTTGAAGCCTTCACTCTCATTGTCAACTACCATTTTGTATGAAAAAACCAATAAATTAGAAAAAACCAGAAACTCTCTGATACCATGAAAAATATGTGGAATGATGTTTTTCATTCAATCTCAAAATAATATATAAATAGATGAGAGTATTACATTAAATAAGTAAATCAGATATAATAATAAATATTTCTAAATATATATTTTCCGGATTTGATAAGATCTCCATTATACAATATATCTCATAATATTCTTCAAGATCCGATATATCTCAATACTCATTTGTACACAAGATTGGATTCAAAAGGATTACACAATCACAATACAAGCAATGTTGGATGATATCTCAAACTTTGAAGAAGTTATATTTTTTATTAGTTGATTGTTTGTATATGTTTGATTTTGCATATTCTAAATTAAGTGTTTAATTTTGCGAATTTTTCATCAAAACCTTTATTTGAGAAATAAGCAGGTTATTTAACGGAATGATGAGGTTTTTGTTGATTTTTTTATTCTAACTAATGTGTTCTTGATTTTAATCTAGATGTGTATGTTTTTCTGTTTGTGTAGGTATGTTCCTCATATGTGTTCGAGATTATGATGCATTTTCAATTTGTTTTAGATGCTGTTGAACTTATGAATTTTATGTTTTGAATTTTATTCAAAGATTATTTTGGATGATGATGTATTATGGAGCTCTTTGGAAAGATATGTATTTTGAATTTTATTCAACTTATGATTATTTTGCTCATGTATTTGTATTATATATATATTTGCTCAGTTTTTTTTATTATACACAAGTTCGGATCTCGCAGGTATCCGGTCTCGTGTTTTTTATATCCGAATTATGGGTACCCAAGTTTCTTGAGATAGCTAGAGATCGAGACACTCCAATCAAAAGTAAGACGATACTGAGACCGAAATAAAGATACCCTAAAAAGTCTGGATACCCGTCTCTGTCCATCTCTACCCACCATAGCCGACATTCTCTCTCTAATGGAGGACAAGAATTACCAACAAGAATTACCAACACATGTGATCTGATCAGAGATTTGTAAGATAGTTTAATCGAGTGGAGATGTATGCGCCTGAGAATTAGGGGTGTCAATAAAACTCGAAACCCAAAGTTTGATCCGAGTAGGTCCAAAAAAATTAAGGGCTTGACCCTAATAATATAGGCTCGATCTGACCCGAAAAAACTAGGTTCAAATCGAGTCTGGTCTGAAACTCATCTGACTTGCTTATTTAAGATTAGATTTCTACTTCTAACCGAAATTTCACCACATAACATAACATAACAAAAAAGAATTTCTTTGTGTGATTCAATATATATATATATATATATATATATATATATATTTACA